GAAGCCCTCCTTCCAGGGAACCACGAGGCCGGGAGTCACAACATCATTTCTTAAAGCGTGTTCAATGAAACGGAAAGTACACATCAGCCAAGTGTGTCTACACGGGTGGTAGTGAGAGATGAGAGTGAAGACTTGGGGTCTTCTAACAGGAAACTTTTAAAAGAATCTCACCTATGAGTGTATTAGGGAGTGGAGATACTAGCTCCAACCATTCTAGCAGTGACCTGAGTTAAATAACATATCTCTGTGTCCACTGGAAGAGCCAATGCAGCCATATTCAAGTATGTTTTTTTCCCCACTAGAGGGATTCTATACGTGGAGCCATGAGAAGAGCCTTGGCCTTCACATCAGCTAAGTTGTTAACTTCTTTTTGAAATTTCAGATGTAATTTACATGCCACAAAACATGCCACTTTAAAGGGTACCATCAGTAGTTTCTAAGATCTTCACAAGCTTGTGCAACTTTTGTCACTAATTCCAGAACAGTTTCATCATTCCCAAGAGAAACCCCACACCAACTGGCACTGCCGCCTCATTCCCACTTCCTGCAGTCTCTGGGTGTTCCTTGTGCTGCGACTGGGCTCCACATAGTTCTATAATGAGTTTATAGTTACTCCATCAAGGAAAACCAGACTAGGACATGGAGGAGGGGTGCAGAGACATGGACACCCAGGGTATGGGGCCTGAGAGGGCAGGTTGCAGGCAGGCATGAACATTCATTCTTCCAGTTATTAAAAAATTATGTATCAAATGCCTATAGTGCTGTGGACTGAATGTTCATATGTTGAAGCCTTAGCCTCCAGTGTGATGGTGTTAGGAGGTGAGGTGTTTGGGAGATAATTAGGGTTAGATGAGGTCAAGAAGGTGGGGCCCCTAGAATGGGATTAGTGCCCTTATAAAAAGAGACACCTTGTTGTTTTCTTCTGTCCATATTTGCATAATAAAGAGGCCCTGTAACTTTACCTTGATCTTGGATTGTCAGCCTCCAGAACTGTAAGGAGTAACTGCCTGTAGCAGAATCCCTGCTGTGTATGGTATTTTATTATAGCAGTGCAAGCAGACCAAGACACTGTCAGGCTCCATACAAGGTTAATTGTTAATAAACATTGTTATGGTTTGTATCTAGATGTCCCCCCAAAGCCTCATGCACTTTTAGATGGGGCTTTTGTAGAGGTAGCTGAATCTAGAGCTTGTGATTGATTTGTGGTTCAATGCTAGGGGTAAGGATGCTGGGATTACAGAGGGAGGATTGCTTAATGAGCCCACTGATTGGATTGGCACTGCCCTAATTGTAGCACTCTGGATAAGATAAAATGGGTAGAAAGAAGCTTGTCTCCCCCTTTTCCTCTTGTTGCTTTTGCTGTCTTTGGCCGCCATGAACTGCTGCCCCTGTGCCATGCCACCCTGCCTTAGAGCCAGCTGATTGTGGACTGAAGCTGCCACAAACGGTGAGCTACATAAACCTTTCCTCCCTTGCTTTGTGGGTGTTGGATATTTTGTCTCAGCAACGAGAAAAGTAAATAATTAAATATGCATCTGGCATTAAGTGTCAGCAGACAGCACCAGGTAATCTAAGGGGATAAGAAGAAAAGGGATAGATGTGGGTGTGCTAACACTTTGGTGATCATGAAGGGCCCCTAGGAAACATGGCACCCATGCACGGTGTGGGTGACAGGAAGCAATGCTGCCTGGAAGATTAGTGTGAAGTGGGGAGAGCGAGCATCAAGAGCCTGGTGCAGGGAGCTTTGGTGTTCAAGCCCAGTAGGGTCACAAGTATGACTGCAGTTGAGAGACCGGGGAAGATGAGGCAGGGGGTGCAGAGGGGTACTGAGTCTAGAGGAAGTGAGGCCTGGGACAAAGGGGGTGTTGGCCACTAAGAGCTTGTAGTTAAGCTTATCAACTCTCTCTGAGGGACATGGGAAAGCTCTTGGTATGTGCCTTTCTGTTACTGGATCACCAATGATGTGGATTTTGATCCAGTTCTCTCCAGCCACACCTTCCTCAAGACCCTGCCTGCCACTTGCAGTCCTCCTTTGGGCAGACATTGGATTGCTAGCTCCTTTGCATGTAGGTCATGTACTGACCTCGAAGCTGTTTGTGCAATGTCTTAGGTACTTTTTGCTCATTGCTGGGACAAAATACCTGACATGCAAAGTTTAAAGGGGAAAAG